TAGTAGAAACAAGTGCCACGCTACTAGGAACAAGTGCCTTACTAGTACTATCAAGTAAGGTACGGGAAGCTACTAGCTACTTACGCTACTACATATGGACACAGGATAGCTCACGCTTCTTCAAGGAAGCTCCCGGCAGAAGGAGCTTCCTTGAAGAAGCGTGAGGCTATCCTTAATGATTTGGTTCCTAGATGTTTAGGGCGACTAAATCAAATCGCTGAAGACCTTCCATTCACCTTCACAGCACATCGTCACACCCGGCTGGTGATGCAAACAGCCACAACTCAGACTCACGCTCGAGTGAATGGACTTCCCCTTTGGATCCCTTTGGGACTTTGAAAGATTGAAGGATGTGACGCTAGACGTCTTGTGGGGGAACCACATGTTGCTTGTAGAGCTGTAAGATTCATCAGAGTTGCACAAACAGCAACAAACGTCATCTACTCAAGTGTCCAGGCCAAGCCAAACAATGAATTTTGTGCTTTACTCTTACGTATTCCTGCGTTAGTTTCCCATTGAGGTTGCGAAGTTGCAAAGATACACTTTGGCATCTTCCAGGGGGTTATGCTAAGCAAAACACGAAGCAATGAAGGTGGCATTGTCCATATCTCCACCTCAAACGGCAATGCTGAAGCCATATCAGTGGCAAAGGCTAAGTGGGTATGCCACACAAGAGAAGTTTTGGGGGGAAATGGACGGTGCGACAGACTTTGTCTTGATGTTGAATAGGAATCCGAAATGCTCGTTGGAAACAAAACCAATGATTGAACAAACACCAATAATTTAATCTTTTCAAAGTGATACCTGCTCACAAGTGGTATGTGTCGGTGTGCAGATGTGCACAGAAACACCTATGTCAACTTGATTGAAGTCCTTGGAAGCCTGAACTCTTTGTGATCTTTGTACCAAAATCTCATCCCCTGTCTCCGGGTCATAAAAGGAAAGGGTCTATACATGTCACAAAAGATTGTCAAGGTTGTCGATCCGGGGCTAAGCTCATTGTTGGTAGCAAGCATTGTCTGATATCACGTCGATTAAATGGCCCAGCATTCAAAGGGCCCGATGCCCGATGATAGTGATAGTTATCCTGTATCAAGCCACTGACATCCACTAACGTGCTATACATGGTCTCAAAGGAAGCGATCATCAAGAGCTACACAAAGTCCTGGAAGGACGTGGTACCTGCTCCACACTATCAAAAAGACTCAAACAGAACAAGTCCGAAAGACACCAATTCTCTCATACGACCCATCCCCACTTTTGTCCTTGTCGGACAACCCGTCCACGAAGCAGCACGTGCCTCGCACTCCCAACCACCAAAGTACCGCTGGGTCTCCCACTGGTGGCGTTCATCGCTCCGGCGGCGGGCGGAGCCTGTAGGGCTTGAACGGCTGGTGCTTAAACCTATGGGGGTTCAATAGGCAAACCAGTGCTTCCTGCATACATAATGATACATGCACTATGACATCCAACGAAAACACATAATAATATATATATATAAAGGGACATGGCCTCCTCTGTTTGGGCAGGGCCTCGTGTGTTCAGGAGACGTTTGCAGTCAGTTTGCACAGCCTGCGCTGCTGATTGCGCTGCTGCCCTCTGTGCACGCTCCTGAGTTGATGGTGAAGAGAATTATATAATATATATAGTTTTTAAATATATCCAAATTATCTATAATTATCTTACTTGCAGGATGTCCTTGGTTTCTTCCAATGTTCGAACAATGCCTTCTGTGTTACATTTGGTATTGAAATGTATTGGAAACATATTGTTCTCAGTTCTCAGTACTCGATTTTGGACGAACTAGGAGCAAGGACGCTACTAGGGGCTCCTGGCATCGCTACTAGGAGCAAGAAGCTACTAGGGGCTCCTGGCCGTACTACTAGGAGCAAAGACGCTTTCTGAAAAATAGCTTTACACTTCAGCTCCTGCTCTCGCCGCCGCTGCTCTTCCGCCATGACCTCGTGAGGAAATTCGACAAGGATTATCAAGGAGTACAATAGAGGAACTGGAGTCTTCTAAAACACCTATATCATCATGAACAAATATACGATCACAACTAAATGATACTAAATGGCCTTCTTCTTGCCTGTCAAGAAACTCTCGAATTTCAAACATGAATTGCATCGCAATCCTGAATAGCAAAGCGGCCATAAAAATGGGGTAGCGAGTGCGACATTCATGATGATGCTATATTCTCAGCAATGAGAAAGCACCGTCCACACATGCCTTCTTGTGGAAGTTTATCGTTTAGGATGCCAACAAGTGTGGCGAAACCCTGCAACTTATCTGGAGCATCTTAGGATGAAATGACCTTTAAACATCTTTAAACCTGTGGTCTTCTGTTGGATCTTTAAAAACACGATCACGGTCCGGCACACCGGCCTCCGCTCGGATCTCTGGTGGCAAGGCTTCCAGTACTGAAGCGTCGATCTCGTCGAAACCTCAAAACTCACAGGGAACTCTGAAAAGCCCAGAGAGCGTGTTGAACTCCCAGAGTGCCACAAATCCCATGAGGTGGTGGCCAGGCAGAAATTTTGTCCGTGCCATCATCGACCAAGAAATGTCTCTCCCAAGGAACCACTCTGACGGAAGCGCGCCTGCACCTGCTTCTGCGGTGTTTGCGGCAGCCTCACCAGCGCTAGCTGCACCGTCTCCACCACCACTGCCACTACTTCGTGGTCGGCGCAGGTGGTCCACGTTGACCTGCTCGGCTGAGCTAGGGCCGTAGTCATTATGCAAAGGTCGTACAGTATGCCATGCAATTGGTCATGATTGTGTCACGTCTCCTCATTTATACACACAAACAATGAAGTTACCTGAAAAATATGACACATTCTGACACCACCTACAAATCCCTCATTTGCCCTGCTCTCTCTTTCCAGCAAACACCTTGAACGGGGACCCCCAGGCGTGACTCACGTGGGACTTGCCTGTGACAACGCTCCCATCACCACAGCACCACGCATATCCTGTGGTTGGTGGCAACAACTCAAATGGTCTGCCCAACAAAAGCCAGAATAAACCCTCGTGGACACTTGGACATCAGGAAGCCCTGTAAATGTAAAGGTTCAACGGTTCAACATCCAAATATATAATACAGTGTACTGTATATTTATACCTAGAGCCTTGTGAGCTTACTTCTTTCTAGGTGCGCCTAGAAATCCTGAGCGCCCACATTTTTCCAAAGGGTTGATATATAATT